TATATATATATATATATATATATATATATATATATATATATATAAAACTATGTTGTCAAAGACGTTTGGGTATTTTTTTTAGAGGCGTCACAATAAGTTATTACCGTCCCCCTCATTGTTTTTCAAAGACATGTGGTGATATAGTTTTTAAAAAATAACTATTTTGTTATAGATCATAATATGCATAAAACTGTACAGAAATATTTTGTAATGTATTGATTTTAAAAAAAAGAGAGACTGTAAATAAAGTTTTTAAAAAAAGAGAGAGAATTCGAAAGGCACACACTGAAAGATGTAGATACTTTGCTATTTATTTAAAGGAGTATTTTAAGAGATACTGAACTATCTGAAATTGACCAGTAATCAAAGTTCCAATCATCCGAATGCTTTTCCTCGCAGTAGAATGTGATTCTCAGAAACAATTGCACTACCGGCCCATTTTTGCACCTTTTCTGTCTTCTCATTTAGCGGAGAAACAACAACGAAATTGTGCCTTAGCTGTATTTTTTTGTCTAGGGGAGTTTGTTTCTGTCTGACAAAGCAAAATTTTTTGCAGAAAACAGTGGATGTACTGAATACTGTATCATACCAAAAACACTGCAGGTTGTATATAGATGCTTTCTGTCATACTGTGTTTTCAGATGCAGAATTTTAAAATTAAAAAAAAATACTGTCTTTATGGAACAGTGGGTGTATGACTTTTTAGTGATAACTGCATCTTCATGCAATCCTGTATTCGCCCCCCTCCTCTGCACTGGCCTCCTGCTGAGACCGTCTCTCCTGGGAAAACCTGATGTGCACACACTCCGTAATCAAGCCTGCTGTCCTCTCCCAACCAGATTATTGCAACACCCTCCTGTAAATGATACCCCTGGTTAAGGTAGAAGTGTTTGGTTTTAAATCCCTTTGGTAAGTAGAGGATGGTGAGGAGGACTGCCATCTAAAGTGGCAAGCGTTTTCTATACCCAGCTGGCCGGTTGTGTAGCAACCTGTTTTCCTTTCCTCTTCACTACACAGCTAGACTGCATTTCCCAGACTTCCTTGCGCTCAGGTGTGGTCATGTGACCAACTCCTGACCAATGGCATGTGGGTGGAATGGATGTAAGACACTTCTTAGGCCTGGCCCATAAAACTTCCCAGAGAGCTCTCGCTCTCTCACTCACTCTCTCTCTCTTTCCCCATTTACCAGCTCAAGTGTTTTAAATCATCTTGATTTGGGGCATTCATAAATTTGTCTATTCTACTGCTCTTCTTGGAAGCTTCACACAGCCCCCAACTTAAAAGAGGGCAGAGACACAATATGGGAGGAGCTGGGCCCCAGATGGTGACATGGAAGACCGCCCCTATTTGACTATGATGTGAAAAGAAAGAAGCATGCATTATGTCATGCCACCAAGCATTTATCTACTACAGTAGCTAGCCTTACCGTAACTAATTCATCCAGATATGGAAACTCAGATAGTCCTCTGGGAAAGTCCAAGGTCCAGCCCCTTCATCCCATAGGTAAAGATACAGAGACTCAGATGGGTGAAGCTACCAAGATATGAGTATCACGGTCAGAAGTAGAACCAAGGTTTCCTATCCCACAGAGACTTTCACAAGTCATTAGGAGGACTGGTTCTCCATCCTTTGGTTGGCCTCATTACGACATTTATAGTGACTCCTGACGGCCACAACCAAGGATTGAGAGTGCCCAGGTGCTGGGTCACAGACATGCCTTTAAATCATCCTTCAGAATCCTAAAGGCAAAGGTTGGCCCTGAGACCCAGATGGGACTTTATAGCTGGAGCAAAGTTGGTTAGAGAAGGTAAGTGACTCTATGTTTGGAAGGACGGTTGGACCCCAGGTATAGTGCCAAAACCTTTTTTCCAGTTGGATCTTATAGCCAGTCTCCCCCTCCTTTGCTCAAAGATAAGTCCTCCAAAAAAAAAAGGGTTTTCTTGCAAGGGACGGATAAACTTCCAAAATCTCCATGGGCGGAAAGATCAAAGATCTTGTTCACCTAGTGTTCCCAGCACTTAGCACAGTAAGCCCAAGGTATGGGCACTCAGTGAGTATTTAATGAATGAACAAGCGAATAAAGCCATATTTCTTAATTAACATATGGGCATGGGGTCATTTGTCCAAGATGCTGCCTTTACATCTAACATTTGATGATAATATTTGGCAAAACATGCGTT